CTCCTAATTATATTTAATACGTTGCTAATTATGGGAACTGAAAGATAATAATGTGTACATGACTGATGTAGCATTGGAAGGTTTGGCAAGGATTCTCAAGAGGCTGGTGTGCAAAATGTAACAGTGAAGACCACTACATTCACAGGCACAGAAAATGGAGTGAGAATCAAGACATGGGGAAGGCCTAGCAATGGTTTCGCCAGAAATATTCTTTTCCAACATGCAGTCATGACTAATGTCCACAATCCCATAGTAATCGACCAGAACTATTGCCCCGGCGAGAAGGGCTGCCCAGGCCAGGTACGTTAAATTTACCGTCTATACTAGTTTTCATTAGATTCTGATCAATGGCAACACATAAAATACACTAAAATCTATCTCCATTTTCTTGTACATTAAACAGGTTTCCGGTGTGAAAATTAGTGATGTGACCTACCAAGATATCCATGGATCATCAGCAACAGAACTTGCGGTGAAATTTGATTGTAGCAAAACAAATCCATGCTCGGGGATCAAATTGGATGATGTAAAACTCACTTACAACAATCAACCAGCAGAAGCGTCGTGTAGCAATGCTGGGGGAGTTGCTTCAGGCGTGGTTCAGCCTACTAGCTGTTTATAAGAGCCTGAAGACGGCTAGTTTACTAAGCATGCAATTAAGAAGAAATAGTACGTACTACCATACACACATATATAAGAGAAAAAAAAAAAAATTGTCATGAGCGAATTATAGCTCATTGAGTCAAAGTTTATTGCTTGAGCCCGAGGCACATTTCTGCCCGACCTTTGCAATTATAGTTGTAGTTGATGTAAGAATTATATTCTCTACTTAATGAACTTCGATTTCTTTTTTAAAGCTTGACTCAGAATTATGCTGTTGTTTGAGAAGTAAGATAGTGGTGCTGTGTTTGTTGCTAAACCATAGCTTAATTCCCTAACTAAATTATCATAAAATATACGAATATTTATTTACTTTCTATCATTCACTGTTTCGAACTTTCTGACGAGGATTAATTCTTAATTTAAGTGAACAAGGTAAGTCTCTTCTGCATTAGCATCTAAGTCTATAGCTATAATAAGTTTTTCTGCTAGAGACAAGGGTTTCCTCGTTCTCGTTACAATTTAAGCAGAAAACTTCCTTCCATATTGACAGGAAGTGATCGACCTTCATCTCAAGCTAAAGGTTATGAAACACTTGTACTTCTGCAGTAACACTGGCATACTTCATCTCACATTCAAAATTGTTGAAAAAATTGAAGTGAAAGATGGTTGGAGACTGCTTGAAAGGGGTAGCTATTTTTTCAATAAAAACAGAGAACCAATTAGAAGACCCTATCCACTGCAAGAAGTTAGCCTATCATTTAAAAAAGATTGATTCGAAAGACAAGGTCCTATGAAGTTGCCCTCACAATAGATTGTTTTGCAATGCAAAAAACCTTACCCATGCATGGAAGTGGTCCTTAAGCCCCATGTCTGTTTCTAGTCAAAAGAGATATCCTTGTTTTTGAAAGGATATAAAATTACTTCAAAACTATCTTAAAGATCAATTTATTTCTATCTCTATCCCTGACACTTCAATCAAATATGTTTATATCATTTCTATATTTGTTTTTTTTTTTGTTTGTCATGGAACAATAACCAAATGCAATCTATGAGTCTATTATCATTAGAATTTCAACATTCAACTCCAATATATTCAAAGATGAAACCATCAATTTTGTTGATGAAATCCCAGATGGAGTCCTGAGAAAGAATAATATTGTATCATGCTGCCTTTCAATTTAAGTATGAAATTCCATATTGCAGAGGGAACTACCTCAAATGAAATTAAAAACTAAGCAATATCTGTCACTATCTGTTATAATAGTAGAGTAACACACCAGTGCTAACAGTGGCATTTGGCAGAAATCATGTTAAATACAAAATGCTATATCTGAAACATGGAAAGACAAGGGATTGAACCTCTTTAAATTTAGTCAGAGAGTAACAAACATATGAACATGGAAAGACAAGGGATTGAACTCTTTAAATTTAGTCAGAGAGTAACAAACACAGCTATTGTAACCACCGAGATTTGTCAATGTATCATGAAGACTTGTTAATGCTTGTCCTGTTTTCATTGGGTCTCTGCTGTTCAATCTCAACAGATTTGCCTTTCAAACTAGCTGGGGAAACTTCATGCTGCATCTCTAGATCATTAATCTAGCCACATCTCTCCTTATTTCTTTTCGTGTTTTTGTACCCTTGGAAGTATTTTTGGTCTTCGATCTGGAATGGTATCATCACAGTTGCTTGCAACTTTTAGCAACGAAGAGATGTCAGCATTAAATCCTTGCCCAATCAAGATTTTTCGACGGCGTCATAAAAATTATATCTACTCAGAAAATGACCAATCCTTGGAGAGTTTTCTAATCAAGATTTAAGCAATAAGTATCACTCTCAGTCGAACTATACTTGCACTAAATATACACAGCAAGAGAGCCAGCACTGTGTGTTTTAGAAATATTTGAAACAGAGAAAAGTAAAAATGGAAGCACGGTGAAGAACATCTCATTCCTATTATATATTTTTTTTAAAGAGAAGATACAATACTTTGAACATATAATTATAGGATAATTCAAGAGACTTGTCCCACGTGCCCACACAACGTTATTTGACCTTTTGTTTTTTTAATTTGCTTTCCCTTTAAGGATTACCACCTATATTTGATTTAAAGTTATTAAAAAATTTAAATATATTCTTTTTTATCGTAGATTTCACAAATAAAAAATTAATTATAATTAGAAAATGTATTAACATTCTTAACATACTTTACCTAAAATAAACATTTTCATAATTTGATATAATTTAAAATATTTTAAAAGTTATTTTACCAATGATTTTATAAATTTTTTTCTTAATAAAAAAATTATTATCTTATTAAATAAAAGAATCAAATTGCTCTAATATCAATAAAAACAAAATAAATTTTTATATTTAATATCCACAATATATTTTACTAAGATTAGAATTCGGATACCAAATGAAAAATATTTTTTGATATTTTTTTTAAATATCAACTAAATTCAATGTAAATTAAAACATTTAATTTTTAATTTTTTTTGTTTTTTTGTTTTTTGACTTTTTGAATTTATAATTCTAAGACATACATAAAAAATGTTTTTTGACTTTTTAAATTTATAATTCTAAGACATACATAAAAAAAAATTACAAATACACACGTATCCCTTTTCATTACATTTTTCTCCCACACCCCACATTTACATGTTACAAATCAACAAAATGCAAAATAAATCAAAACACATTAAACAATTTAAAAATTATAAAAAAGACCCTCTAAAAATTCGCAAGTGCTGGGAAACCTTATGGAACTGTATGCAGTGTTGAGGAAGGTTTCTGGATATTTGAAAAGTGGCAGCACGTCTTCTCCACACGTCGTCACCACTGGCAGCGTGTGGGTTCACTTGTTGCCTCAAGAAATTCCAGGCAGCAGGAGGATCTGAAATGGCTTCCTCCTCTTTTACTTTCCTCGCCGGCGGTGACTGCATAAACAGCAAAATCACAACAATCAGTTGATTTTAGTTTTTATTTCCCTTGTTTTTCAGATCTGCTTCGGTTTCCCTTTTTTTAGATTCGTCCCATTTCTCTGCCTTCTCCCTTCCCTATTTGTTTCTCTTCTGTCGATGGAAGATCTGATGGTTGCTGTTGTCCGTGGCTGTTGAAGCTGCGGTGGAGAGGGGATGGCTGTCCTGTCAGGGGGAGGAGAAACGGTGTTTGCGATTGAAGAGGGAGACCATAGGTCTATGGCCGGTTGAAGAGTGAATATCTGTAGGCTGAGGGTTGGAAGGCAGTGCTCTCTGTGGTTGAGAGAAGAGCAGCTGAGAGGTAGAAGGCTTGGTACGTGGCTGTTTTGTTGGGGTTTGCTGGATGAATGGGAGCTGTAGTATGGAAAGAAAAAGGGTGAGCCAACTGAGAGGGAAGACCTGTTGGCTGAGGGGAGAAGAAGAGGTGGGTCTCGGTTTAGCAGGGATTGGGACGGTCGGAGATGGTGTTCACAGTGGCCGAGGGAAGATCGACTGAGAATGAAAAGAGATCGCCCAAGGGGGACGGCTGCTGGCTTTCAGAAGATGAAAGATTGGGTTTCTTAGGTTCCTAGTTTCCAAACTTATCCCTCAATTTTTTTTTTATAAATTTGATCTTTTTATTATTTTGAATATTTTTATAAAGTCCATTCTTGGAGAGTTCGTAGCTAGCTAACGCCGCTCTTAGATAAGCATAGCTGAAAAGAAATCCAAGAGAAAGATCTTCAGCGTGAGGTTGATCCAAGAATTTGGCACCACTATCATACCTTGGTTTTCGAAGGAGCGTGCAGAGGGGCGAAAAAGGGAGAACAAGAATAAAGGCAAGCATAAGTCGTTGTCTGTGTTAAGCTTGGCTTAACAAAGACTGAAGAAATGGAACAAACAGAGAGAAAGAGACTGAGATTTTACAAGAATGAATTTTGTTATTACTTTTCGTGTCTACTTCTCTTATATATCAGTTAACATCCATTACGTGCTTATTAACAACTAACAAACTAACTGATTTCTAACTACCTCCCACATGCCTTGCACCTACTATTTATTAATAGCTAATAACTGTCACTACTATTCTTATTCTTTGCTGTAACAGTCTGTTAGTAGTTCGGGATACAACTCATCTCTTAGAAGGAAGAAGAGGAAGCAGGAGAAGAGGGAAAGCCACAGGAGCTATAGCTCGTCCTCTGATGAGTCTTCGGACTCGGGAAATGGAATCTGATTTTAATGACGAGAGCAGAAGGAGGAGTTTTAGGAAGAATAGCTTGTCCTCTGATGAGTCTTCTGATTCAGACTCGAGTTCCGAATATGATTATGATTACAAGGGAAGCAGGAGGCGACTTAGGAAGTATAGCTTGTATCGGAATCTGAATCTGAATCTGATTCTAATGACAAGAGACGTCTCGGAATCTGAATCTGATTCTAATGACAAGAGAAGAACGAGGAGGCTTAGGAAGAACAGCTCATCCTCTACTTTCGCTGATTCTGATTACAAGAGCAGCAAGAGGAGACATAGGAAGTATATCTTGTCCTCTGACAAGTCTTCTGATTCAGACTCAAGTTCGGAATATGATTCTGAAGACAAGAGAAGCAGGAGTAGGCTTAGGAAGTATAGCTCGTCCTTTGACGAGTCTTCGGACACGGGGTTTGAATCTGATTCTAATGACAAGAGCAGCAGGGGGAGGCTCAGGAAGAACAGCTCATCCTCTGACGAGTGTTCTGATTTAGACTCTAGTTCCGAATCTGATTCTGATGAGAAGAGAAGCAGGAGTAGACTTAGGAAGTATAGCTCGTCCTCAGATCATGAGTCTTCAGACTAAGGATTGGAATCTGATTCTGATGACAAGAGCAGTAGGAGGAGGGGTAGGATGTATAGCTTGTTCTCTGATAAGTCTTTTGATTCAGACTCTGGTTCTGAATCTGATTCTGATGAAAAGATAAGCAGTTTGTCCTCTGAAGAGTCTTCTAATTCAGACTCAGGTCTAGAATCGGATTCTGATGACAAGAGCAACAGGAGGAGGAGCAGAAGGTATAGCTCGCCCTCTGACGTCTAATCTGATTTAGACTCGGATCAGAAATTTATCCTGTTGACAAGAGCAGGAGGAAGATGAGGCATAGCACGACGAGATGATGTGAGGCAATCAAAGAACCTAAAACAAAATGGTGTTTCATTTTTTTGATAACTAGTGAAATGCATTGAGACCCCAAAAGCTGGCTGGAAGGATGAACGAAGAAGAAGAGGAAAAAAAAAAAAAAGCCACAAGAACAGAGCAACTGTCCTCGTATGCAGCTTTGCCTCCACACAAAACAGAGGGGAAGGAGGAACGAAGAAGAAGAGGCAAAAAAAAAAAACAAAAAACCACAAGAACAGAGCAATTGTCCTCGTATGCAGCTTTGCCTCCACACAAAACAGAGCTGCCAAGCTAAACAACCAGCTATAACCGACTATTCCAAAACAATAGAGGTCTTTAGACCAAGCACCTGCTATAACCAGCCATTACCTCTTTAGAATGCAAAACAATCAAAACCTGACAAAAAACAAACCATCTTCACCAAGAGCCGCAAACAGAACTTTTTGTTTTTTCGTGTTTTGAACAGATGTATAATGAATATGAAACATGGTAATAGTATTTTTTCTGCAAAAACTGTACTGTGAAAACAAGAACGAAAAGTTTTCTAATCTTGAAAAGAACAGAAAATTTAATCATGCACACAGATGTGAGAGAGGGATAGAGATAGTATCTCCACAGTAAGAAAACTGCATGATGTGATGGTCTTGTGTTTTCTTGAACTTCCTCCTTACCATGAGCACAATCATTTCTGATATCTTGATTTTCTTATTCCTCTTCCCCAAGTATGTCCAGGGTAGGGTACAGAGTAGGATGTAGAAAACAACCGCAGCTGAAGTTGCACACACAACATAACCAAACACAAAACTAATTTTGATTGAAGAATCAAACTTCCTTCGATGATCACTTGAACATCTATACAAAGGCTTTCCACTTATTCTTTTGTTATTTGTAAAGCTGTCTTCTGAAACAATGGCACTTACAAAGCTTGGCACTGGTCCTGATAATAGATTGTTAGCTACATTAAAGGTCTTGATGCGATCGATCGAGCTGGGAACTTTGTGGTGGGATATGACATATTAGCTTGTTGTGGTCCAGTTTTAGATAATTTAGATAATAACAATCAGCAATACTTGCTGGGATTTCACCAAAGAAGCTGTTGAACGATAGATCAAGAGGATTTTTATCTACAATTTAATGTTCTCGATTTTGGCTACTTTCACCATAACTATAGGTACTGAAACTGACATTTATTGCTTGAAATCTATATGTTAAAAATTCTGTGATAGAGACCCTTATAATTACTTAAGCGCTGCGTGGGACTTCAACAACAATACATAAGGTTTCATCTGTAGATTTATGGGAATCGAATGTTGGCATCTTGATGGGAACAGAATTTTAAATGCCAGACCTCAGACCTTTTATCAGCGTACTGGACAGTATAGCAAGAAAGATAAAAACTTTGAAAGTAAGAATAAATGAGAGCTATGAAACAATACTATTTTAAAGGAAAAAGGAATTGAAATCTCATACAGCATTTTTAAGGGTCATTTGTACACAACAAATCTCATTTTTTTTTGCAATGATCGGGCAGAAATATGCCAGAGACTCAAGAAATAAACTCACTCAAAGAGCTATTTCACTCATTGCATTCTTTTTTATTTTTATAGCTATATATAGTATATGGTAATAAATAAATCTTTTTCCGAGTTTGATCAACCATTCCCTCTTTAATTAGGCTCTCATAAACAGCTAGTGGGCTGAACAAGGCCTGAAGCAACTCCACCAGCATTGCTGCATGAAGCTTCAGCTTGCTGATTCTTGTATGTGAGCTTTACATCTTCCAATTTGATACCCGCGCATGGATATTTTTTGCTACAATCAAATTTCACCGCAATCTCCGTAGCCGATGATCCATGGATGTCTTGGTAGGTCACATCACTAATTTTCACACCGGAAAACTGTTTAATATACAAGAAAATGGAGAAAGATTTTAGTGTATTTTATGTGTTTCCATTCAAAATCTAATGAAAACTAGTATAGACGGTAAATTTAACGTACCTGGCCTGGGCAATTCTCCTTGCCGGGGCAATAGTTCTGGTCGATTACAATGGGATTCTGGACATTAGTCATGACTGCATGTTGAAAAAGAATATTTCTAGCAAAACCATTGCTAGGCCTTCCCCATGTCTTAATTCTCACCCCATTTTCGGTACCAGTAAATGTAGTGGTTTTGACTGTTACGTTTTGCACACCAGCCTCTTGAGAGTCCTTGCCCAAACTTCCAATGCTACATCAACAATGTAGGCGTTATTTTAATTCCCTTGATGAGCAACACAATGAATATTAGGAGCACATGATATTAATGCATGGTTGATTATCATTAGACTACAATTTCCTTGACTACCTGATTCCATGGCCAGGTCCACATGCCACATTTTCAATCCAAAGATTAGAGGTACCAGGGCCAATTGATACACAATCGTCACCAGTTCCAATCCTAGAATTCAAGATGGTGACTCCGGTCGATGATTGAACGTGAATTCCATCGGTGTTAGGGCTATCTCCGGCAGCAGAGACTCTCACTCCTTGCACTTTGACGTCTTGGCAGGCATTGATGACAATGTGGAACATTTGGCTATTCAGTGATGCCAATCCGGTAATTGCAATGTTGTTTGAATTGGAGAATTCAAGTGACTGCACCATAAATAGATTAACAAGAAAATTAAGAAATTGAAAATAGATGGCGTGGTTTTCGTGTACAGACCAAAACTGTAAGATATTTCATTATATCATGCATGTTTAGCATACCGTCGCGCCTCTGGGGCAATTCTTGCCGGAATTCTTGCATGACCACAGTCCTGCCCCTTGTCCATCAAGAGTCCCTCCGGATATAGTAACCCCATTAACATGCTCAAAGATTAGCCAATTTTTAGTCCTACCAAGGACCCCGTAGTCTGATGGAGCGACTAGGGTACCATCTATACGTATCGAAATAGCATTATTCTTGCAAGGACCCTGAAACCTCACTTGACCTAAAGCGAAACTCCCTTTAGGAACAGAGATAGTGGCCGGCTGTGTGGAAGTGCATGCCTGTGACCAAGCAGCCGCAAAGGCCTTGGTTGAGTCAGTTTTTCCACCAGGGATGGCCCCATAACTTAGCACACTGTATTGTGCTGCCTTCACTAAAGGTGAGAAGGCAAAGGAAATGGAGAGAAGGGTGATAAGAAGAGGGCTCACTGGAAGTGGAAGGACTGCCATAGCTTGCTCGTTTTGGTTTTGATATATGAATCGATGTAAGTGATCAGTGGTTGAAAGGGAGAGAAATGGAGACTTTGTTGTGCTTGGAGGGTGATGGGATATTGTCGATGCATCGGAAGTATTTATAGGAAAGTTGCCAATGGAATATGGAATTTTTTGAGTATTTGAAATAAATATTAGGCGAAATTCACACGCAAAATTTATGAAATGGAAAATTATAACCGCTGTATCCTTTCAGCATTAATTAATAATTTAATTACTGCTCATTAACTGTGGCTCATGTTGTAATAATTAAATAATTTTTAATTTAAAAATTTTAATCTAATCACCATCTATATATTAGCTATTCATACCAAATATTGGATCCGTGATATAACTAGATAAAAAAGATTGAAATAACATTACCACATCATGAATTAATTACTCTAATACTTGTAAAGATTACTGTTTTGTTTTGAGTGTCATGAATTATACCTATTTTTTTTTCATATATATATATATGAGTGGCTTAACTCAAAACTATGAAGCAATAATATAACAATATGAAACAATAATATTATTGGAGAATATATCAGAATTCTCCATATATATATATATATATATTCCTTTATTGTAATGTTAAAAAGTCATATATCCAGAACCAACATGCATATGAAAGGATGGAGAGAAGGACAATTGCATGGATATGGTTGCTTGAGATGACAAATTCCTAAATAAGGTAGGTTTTCTTATTAAATATTATCCATAATATCAATAAATGTTAAGCAATATCCACTCGATAACACGACACAGAAAACATGCACCCCCGCCTTGCCTACCAGCTTACCGCCTCTTTTTTCCCGCTGTAATGTTACTACCATCTCTCTCTTTGCTTCCATCACAAGCTCAAAGCCTTGAAACTCTCTCTCTCTCACTAGTTGACTAGCTACGTACATGGAGTGTACCTCCTCTTTTTGGTATACATAATTAAAACAAGATATCAGGCGTGGTTATATATTAGAATAGTTTTTGGGTTTCCTCCTGTACAAGGGTGGTTTGTTGATTGAATTCCAAAATAATTTTATTTATTTATTAAATAAAATAATATTGTTTTAAATTATTTTTTAAATCATTAAATTAATAATTAGATCTTGAATCAAGTTAATTAAATTTAACCAAAATAACCTTCAAAACAATCTTAAATGAAACTCTAATTAAAATAAATTCTCAGTCAACAATATCTTTTAATTTATGGGCTCGAAATTACATGATATCAAAATTATATAATAAGCAGTTCTTGTTTTCTTTCTGTTTTTGTGGTTTTGATGGGACACTGTTCTACTCTAATTAAAATAGGTTCTCAGTCAACAAAATATCTTTTAATTTATAGGTTCGAAAATATATGATATCAAAATTATATAATAAATAGTTCTTGTTTTCTTTCTATTTTTGTGGTTTTGATGGGACACTGTTCTAATTAAACTTGTCTAAACATACAAATTAAACAACTGAATAATTGTTATTTCCTTGATTTATGTTTGAAATTGTATTATCTTTTTCTACTCCACATTTCACATATCATTCATTTTATACTATAATTTTGTGGGTTGAAGGTTGGAACCAATCGATAGCCATTAAAGTATATGTAGTCTTCACTAGCTATTTTTGCATGTTTCTTTCGAAGAGTCTGATTGCTTTAATAGCTTTTATGAGTTTAATTGTGCCAAGGTTTTGAGGACATAAGG